TCTCCAGGGAGTTTATATGCTGGTTGGGTTGTAGCGGAAGTCTGACTATTGTTAGGTGCCGTCGAGTCGGTTCCGACACATAGCAACTCTGTGTACAACTGAAGGAAGCACTGCCCGGTCCTGTGCCATCCTCATAATTGCCGTTATGCTTGAGCGTGTTGTTTGTAGCCTTGGTAATATATTGACTATGGCTGCTAATTAAAAGGTCAGCAGTTCGAATCCACTGGCTGCTCTGTGGAAACCCTATGGGGCAGTTAATTCTACTCTGTCCTATAGGGTCACTATGAGTCAGAATCGACTCATTGGCAATGGATTTGGTTTTTTTTTTTTTTTTGGCTATAAGTGCAATAGAAAACTCTAAGGTCTTTTGGGGATGGTCAAAAAAAACTTCGTAGAGAAAATGAGATCCATCCGGGCTCTCAAGGAAAAAATGGGATTTGGAGAGGGGTAGAGTGGTGGAGGGGGCATTGCAGACACGGTGCTCCAGTGGAGCAGGAACAGTAGTAGAAGAGATTGAGGTGTTGGCAGACGTAGGAGAAAGCTGGTCCTGGCTGGGCAGAGGATGCGCTAGAAAGTCCTGAGACCTCAGGTTGGCTGGAACAAGGTCAGCTCGCAGAGAGTCTGGAGAACTTTGCAGGCAGGGGAGCCTGGGCTCGACATTAGAGCATTAACTGAAAGGAGTAATTGCAACGTAGTACTAATTAACTTCTCATATTGTCATTTACATTAATCATCTCAACTGATTCGGATAACCAATCCATTGCAACCTGGAGAGCCACCAAAGACAGCACAGCACAGGCACCATCTGAAGGTGTTCTCTTGATTCCAATAAGAATGTCAGAAACAAGGAGCACTTTTCTGCAAGATGGAGAGTTTTCTAGAGTAGACAGCTGGCCTGACTAGAGCCACTGGCTCCAGAAATAAAGGGCAGAAATAGTGTCCTTGGGGTATCACATCCCGTTGGGCTAATCTTGTTTTCCTCAGTTGGGTACTCAACTCCCTCAGTGCCTGATTCTTCATGAGGCTAGAGGAGTTAATGCTGAGGATGTTGCAATTCTTTGAGTAAATACAGTTTCTGTTTCTGTGTTGGAATTTCCTGTTTTCTGCACCTGATTTAGATATTTGGCTTATTTGCATACGAATGTAGTTTGGGATTCAACTCAAAAAGGGGCTTTTACAAAAGTCTGAAGTCAGAGGAAATTATTGTCTATGTGAGTATACTTTGTAAAGGTCCCTTTAGATATGAAGTGAGTTACAGGCTTTGTCTCCTAGGAAAAGACACCCAAACGGTTATGATATGGACTGCAGAAGAAGATGTGGACATAATTTTAAAAGTTTTTATTGCCAGGTGAAATTTTTTTTTAATTGTACTTTAGATGAAGGTTCACAGAGCTAATTATTTTCTCATTAAACAATTAATACACACATTGTTTTGTGATGTTGGTTGCCAACCCTGTGATGTGTCAACACTCTCCCCTTCTAGACCTTGGCTTCCCCATTTCCGTTTGTCCAGCTTTCCTGTCCCCTCCTGCCTTCTCGTCCTGGCCTCTGGGCTGGTGTGCCCATTTAGTCTCATGTACATGGTTGAGCTATGTGTATTATTGTTTGTTTTATGGGCCTGTCTAATCTGTGGCTGAAGGGTGAACCTCAAGAGTGACTTCAGTACTGAGTTAAAAAGGTGTCTGGGGGCCATGTTTTCATGGGAGTTTTCCAGTCTCTGTCAGACCAGTAAGTCTAGTCTTTTTTTTTTGTGAGTTAGAATTTTGTTTTACATTTTTCTCCAGCTCTGTCCGGGACCCTCTATTGAGATCCCTGACAGGGAAGTCAGTGGTGGTAGTCAGCCACCATCTAGTTGTGCCGGACTCAGTCTGGTGGAGGCTGTGGTAGTTGTGGTCCATTAGTCCTTTGGACTAATCTTCCCTTGTGTCTTTGGTTTTCTTAATTCTTCCTTGCTGCAGACAGGGTGGAACCAGTGGGTATCTTAGATGGCCACTCACAAGTTTTTAAGACCTCAAACACTACTCACCAAAGTAGGATTTAGAACACTTCTTTATAAACTATGTTATGCCAGTTGAGCTAGCTGTCCCCCAAGACCCTGGTCCCTAGCCTTCAGCCCAGTAATTCGGTCCCTCAAGGAGTTTGAGTGTGTCTATGAAGCTTCCATGACCTTGCCTTGGTCCAGTTGTACTGACTTCCCCCGTATTGTGTACTGTCTTAGCCTTCACCAAAAATTGTCTAGTTAGTATTTTTCCCTCCCCACCCTCCCTCCCTTGTAACCATCAAAGATTGTTTCTTTCTGTGTTTAAACCTTTTCATGAGTTTTTATAACAGTGGTCTCATGCAATATTTGTCCTTTTGTGATTGACTTAGTTCCAGGTAAGATAAAATTTGAATCACTTTAGGGCTTGAATCAAAGTGTTTGTTTTTGTTCACTGATGCAGAATTCAAACCAATTTCTTCTTCTGGTCTTGTACCCTTTTTCAGAAGATTATTGAATTCGAATCACTTGAAATAGAGCTAATCTGGTCTAGTTGAATTTTTGGAATTCTTTAAACCCTCAGACAGGTTGAGTTTATTTGTGACTCAGAAGAAGTAATGAACAATCAACATCATCATGCTTTCTCTGAACTCAGAGCACTCAGATTGTTTTCCTCTGGTAGAACTGTTGTTTAGCCCTGATTCATCTATTCCTCCCCTCCTTCCTTTGTCTCTCTTCCTCCTTCCTCCCTCCTCCTTTTTTCTTTCTTTCAATTGACTATTAGTTATGCCCACTATTCAACTAGAAAAACTGAAACGCTGAAGAGATAAATAAGCATTGTGCTCATGTCTTGGTCACATCTATTTCTTTTGGGGGACAGAAATAGAAATAAAATTTAGGTCTCCCTCTCCACTTAAGGCATTATAATTGCTACTACTAGGCCCTTCATGAGACCCTAAGTCAGTGGTTCACATCCTGGGATACCTGAGCCATTTGGGGGTCTTTGTAGGAAGCAACAGGGATTTTTAAATTATTTTCATTATTTCAAAAAGTACAACAGAAATTGCACATTTCCCAAAATAAGATTGCATGAATTAACTAGGATGTCATGGTATTTTTGCTTTTGATTAGAGTTGAATTAATTCAGTTGGATAACATTGATTATCATGCTGATCTGAAGTTGTGATTACAGTTGCATATGCCTTAGATGATTAAAATGGGAAATAGGTTAATTACATCTTAAAAAATGCAGTTTGTTTGATAGGCGGGTTTTATAAAACCAGAAACTAATCGGAGAAAAATATAACAGATTTTGGGAACTCCTGATTCTGAGTGTATCTCGAATAGGCAGAGTGATGAGACACATGAAACTCTGAAATGTGTCTATTTCAAGATTCTTCTGGAATCACAAGATCCATATATTTGTTCTTTCTGGTTGCCTTCCCACGCACAATCTAAAGTCAAAACTCTCTCTTATACTTTCAATGCTAGTTATGGCTCAAGTCCATCAACCATCTAATGTCTGTCATTGATGGTTATTTAATATTGATCGTGTGTATTGGAGGCTTTGGTGGTTCGGTGGTAGAAAAGTCATCTTCCATGTGGAAGACCTGATTCCATTCCTGGCCAATGTGCAGCTACCACCTGTCTATTGGTGGAGCCTTGCGTGTTGCTATGGTGCTGAATAAGTTTTAGCAGAGGTTCTAGACTAAGACAGACTAGGAAGAAAGTCCTGGCATTCTACTTCCGAAAAATTAGTTAGTGATTTTTGGATCATCACAAGGATCCAATCACGTTGTACACTGCAGGGTTTCCATGAATTGGGGCCGATTTGACGGCAGCTAACGACATGTGTGTATTGACTTTTATCATTTCAACTTGATCTGAATGTCTATGGATGCTGACAATACATTTGAAAGAAGATACTATGGAGAAGCAACGAAAAAACATAAACATCATTTATTATTCTGCTAACACTCAATGGCTAGCTTTTTCATGTGCTAACAACACATGATAAGGGCAGTTAAGCCGGTTTGAAAAGTATAAATAGAAGTATAACGAATTTCTGATCTCTTATGAATCATTAAGCTAGTCAAAAGACATGTCTTTGAGGAAGTACTCAGCTTGCTTCCGGAACAGGATGGGGTTTTCATAATCATGCTACAATCACTGTGGCTTTGGGCGTCAGTTTTCTGACTCACCTGGCTCAGGCTGCTTTAGACATACAGCCCTTTAAAGGTTAAATCAGTGGGGAACTGGGGCAGGCTATGGGGCTCAGGAACAAGTGACTTGCTAAATTTAGGTCACATTCTTTGCTGGTGTATTCTGGTTCCAGAGATCATTATGGGGTGCTTTTTGGCCCTAAGGGAAGGTTAGGCATTACCTCCACTCAGGTGCCTGTGAACTACGAGGCAACACCAGAACTTGCCAAGTATCAATCACAAGGGTTATTTGTATGATTATGGCATGTCTCCTGGAGTGCACTGCACAAAAAAAAAAAAAAACATGTGACACAGTGACAGAAGCTTAATTGCTTCAGATTGCTCATGTGTAAGGTAGGGCTAAGATAGATGGTCTCTAAGGAGCTGGCAGGCCATGACCAACTATCTGTAACTCTTAACTTCCTTGAGTAAGCAACGTCAGAATAAAGATCATGCTGGCAAGACAACCCTGACCAGGTCGACACCAGACAGATGGCAATTTACATGCGTGCGAGACTCTCGCTCGGGGGTGGGGAAAGCTAGCTGTAGACAGAGCATGTGCCTTAAAAGATATATTTGAACATTCCGAAACAAGGCAGGTGCACATGTGAAGGCTACCCTTTCCTTTTTGCTTCCTCCAGCCAGTATAGAAAATGACCAGCTGTGACACTTGGAAATATCTGCAATGGAACCTTTTATCCTGGAGACTTGAAGGTTGACGATATGAAGATTTTAATTAATCAGTTGTATTTTGATTAACTAATTGCCACTGATGAATTAATGCGGTTAACTCATTTCATTAATTGTATCGTTTTCCATGTTCCCAGATGGGCTTGACAATTTCCTTTCTTCTTGGCTTTCATCCTCAGCTCTATCTCCGGCAGGAGACACATGGGGCTTGGCACCTGTGAGCACTCTAGTGAGTATTTATGAATAAATCCAGTTGTCATTTATTTAGAATTTACTCTATGCCAGGTCCCAAGTGCCAAGCATTGTTTAAGCCCGTCCTGTTTAATCCTCACTATAGTCTCATGATTTATTCTTATCCTTATTTTACAGATGAAGACACTGAGATTTTGAGAGGTTGAGTAGTTTGCCTGAAGTCATATAAATATGGAAAAACAGATTCAGATTATAGTTTGTTTGACTCGAAAGCCTATGTTCTTAATCACTATGCTGTCTATTGTTCCCCTTCCTTTTGTTGCAAGGGTGAATAACAAGTGCTTTTTCTCCTTATGGAGAGTGTAGGGGTAGGAGATCCTGCTTACGGACATCCTCTGTGGTGGAAAGCAAGGGGTCTGGGGGTGGGCGTGCTCTTCTCAGTGACATCAGCAAAAGAAGGATGTACAACTCAATACCACTTGCATAAGTTTAAAAAATACATACGTACAAAGCAAAAAAAAAAAAAAAATCCACATTTCACAAGAACACATTCAAGTAAAATAACATTAAACTCATTAGAGCAGTTGCCTCTGAGGGATGAGGAGTGGGAGTGGAGGGTAGGGCTAAAAGGCAATAAATATATACATTAAACAGGAGAAGGGGCCTAATGAGGGTCCACAGACGATTAGGTGGTGTGACTGAGCAAAATAATAATGCAGCTTGTTGTACTTGAGGTCAAAAAATAATAATAAATGAGAGAGGGGAGTCAAGGCAATTGAGAAGTAGATGAAATTAGGACAAGATTTGGAACGTCCAGGAAGACATGAGTGAGTGGCTCCTTACCCACATTCAAGAGTCATTTACTTAGTCCTAGTATGGAGGGACAGTAGCCCTGGTGGTGCAACGGTTAAGCACTCGGCTGCTAACCGAAAGGTTGGTGATTTGAAACCGTCCAGTGGCTCCACAGGAGAAACATCTGGCGATCTGCCTGCATAAAGATTACAGCCTAGAAAACCCTATGGAGCAGTTCTACTCTGTCACATGGGGTCACTATGAGTTGAAATCAACTTGATAGGACCCCACAACAACAATAGCATGGAGTGACAGTAATGTAAACATTTACTCGGCATAGACATGAGGTTGGCCCCATCAGACATTTCATTTTTGTCAGAGGATAAAAGCTTTGAGGTCATTTTGTCCAATATAGTGAAAGAGACAGTCTCAGAACATGCAAGCTAAGAAAGTCATTCACGATTTTGTTGCAAGTAAGAAAACCGAAGTTCAGAGAGGTCGAAAGACTAGGCCAAGATGGCGCAGCTAGTTTGGGACAGATCCTGAATGACAGCCCAGTTCTCTCCACTTGACCACGCGCTTCTCCAGGTTCACCTGCCTCTCTGGTCTCTGGACAGCCCCTGGCGAGTGATAACTCCGTTTCTCTGTTTGAATGAGAGATGGATTTGTTAGCCCAGTTTTCTCCTACCTAACCTTGACTCAGAAGAGCATTGACTATGGAAGGTGCTCAGTGAATGTTGATGACAGTGATAGTCAATATTTAGGAATAAGTTCTTCTTTGAATCTTCAAACACTTCAATAAGAAAATTAGTGTTGTACTATTTGTTCTGGATTCCTGTGGCTTTTTCATCTCATTCTAGTTTCAGCTGTGCTGTTCACAGCTATATGAATGTGGCCCTGTTAATCTTGGCTTTAATATCCTCATTTATACAAAGGGGAGTGGTTTTATAGTCTCCAAAGAGCCTCATATAGTCAAGGCTTCTATGATCAAGGCTCTCTAGGACCCCCAGAGCTAACATTCCTCACAAAGACGGCACTGGGGAGTTCATGCTCACAAGATGTAGCTCTTCTTTATTTCAGCTGGTCAGCTGTGCTGGTCTCTGGTGTCATTTCAGAAATGAGCATTGAGACATTTACTAGAGGCAAAGTGTCATGCAGAGATAGGCAGTCCTTGCCTTCCAGGCACTATTATCTTATTGGAGAAAGAATAACAACAGATAGGTAGTAGTAGAATACTAAGTGCCAAACCAGAGCAGGATAGAAAAGTGCTGTTGTTGCTTATGTTACACCAGACCTGGCTGCGAGTGGGCAGGGACAGCTTCTCAGAGGAAGAGGGGTTTATGCTGGGTCTTGAAGTGGGGTAGGATTCTGTGTTTTATTGACTATGCAAAGGCATTCTACTGTGTGGATCCTAACAAATTATGAATAACATTGCAAAGAACAGGAATTCCAGAACACTTGATCGTGCTCATGCGGAAACTGCGCATAGAACGAGAGGCAGTCATTCAAACAGAACAAAGGGATACGGGGTGGTTTACCATCAGAAAAGCTGTGCGTCAGGGTTGTATTCTTTCACCATACTTATTCAATCTGTATGCTGAGCAAATAATACAAGAAGCCAGACTATATGAAGGAGAATGCAGCATCGGGATTGGAGGAAGACTTATTAACAACCTGAGATATGCAGATGACATAACCTTGCTTACTGAAAGCGAAGAGGACTTAAAGCACTTACTAATGAAGACCAAGTACTACAGCCTTCAGTATAGATTATATTTCAACATAAAGAAAACAAAAAAAATCTCACAACTGGACCAATAAGCAACATCATGATAAACGGAGAAAAGATTGAAGTTGTGAAGAATTTCATTTTACTTGGATCCACAATCAACATCCATGGAAGCAGCAGTCAAGAAATCAAATGATGTATTGTATTGGCAGATCTGCTGCAAAAGACCTCTTTTAAAGTGTTAAAAAGCAAAGATGTCACTTTAAGAGCCAAGGTGCTCCTGACCCAAACCGTGGTATTTTCAATTGCCTCATATGCATGCGAAAGCTAGGCAATGAATAAGGAAGACCAAAGAAGAATTGATGCCTTTGAATCATGGTGCTTGCAAAGAATATTGAAGATATCATGGACTGCCAAAAGAATGAACAAATCTGCCTTGGAAGAAGTATGGCCAGAATGCTCCTTAAAAGCGAGGATGGCGAGACTTCACCTCAGGTACTTTGGACATGGACATGTTATCAGGAAGGACCAGTTCCTGGAGAAGGACATCATGCTTGGTAAAGCAGAGGGTCGGTGAAAAAGAGAAAGACCCTCTCAGTGAGATGGATTGACACAGTGGCTGCAACAGTGGGCTCAAACATAGCAACAGTTGTGAGGATGGTGCAGGACCAGGCAGTGTTTTGTTCTGTTGTACACAGGGTCACTATGAGTTAGAACCAACTCGACGGCACCCAGCAACAACAACAACAGGATTCTGATAGCAAAGACGATGAAATGCAGCACTATAGGTGGAAGTCACAAATGGACCAAAGATACAGTCAAGGGGACCCAAAGCTTGATGGGGCATCTTCAAGAAACTGTCTGGCTAGAGCAGAAGACAGTGATGTTCAGATCTCAGCTTCTAGATGAGTGTGAACTATGGAGGTGACCAATCAAAGGCATTATTTACAACAAATTTTGGTCAGTAGGCATTTGAGTGTGTATTTGAGATTGAACTTGTACGAATGTGAACTAATGAAAATGGTTGGAGAGGACCCAAAAGCTGAGTGTAACTGTGACAGAAGAATTCACATAAACTCCTGGGGGTATTCTCTACCGCTGTGACCATTAGAATGTGGGTGTTAACTTACCAGGAGCTAAAACAAAGACAGAAAGAGGATAGCCAACTGTCTTAGTCATCTAGTGCTGCTCCAACAGAAATACCACAAGTGGATAGTTTTAACAAAGAGAAGTTTATTTCCTCACAGTCAAAGTAGGCTAAAAGTCCAAATTCAGGGCGTCAGCTCCAGGGGAAGGCTTTTTCTCTCTGTCAGCCTTCTTCTCTTCGGTGTTCTCCTGGACTAGGAGCTTCTCTGCGCAGGGACCCCGGTCCAAAGGACGCGCTCTGCTCCCAGCACTGCTTTCTTGATGGTATGAGGTCCCCCTATCTCTCTGCTCACTTCTCTCCTTTGTATCTCAAGAGATTGCCTCAGGACACAATCCAATCTTGTAGACTGAGTCCTGCCTCACTAACACAACTGCTGCCCATCCTCCCTCATTAACATCATAGAGGCAGGATTTACAACATATAGGAAAATCACACAGTACCAGGAATCATGGCCCAGCCAAATCGACACACACATTTTTGGGGAGACATAATTCAATCCATGACACCAACCCACCTAGAGATGTAACAAAATTGTTTGTGAACAACAAACAAGTATATGAGAATTATGAAGCAGCCGGAGATGGGTGCAGATCTGAGTAATTTAGAAAGGCAGCTCAAAATTAAACTTTTCTAGGTGGAAACAACTTAAATGTACATTAACAGATGAATGGATTAACAAAATGTGGAATATACATACAACAGAGATTACTCAGCCATAAAGAGAAACAAAGTTCTGATACATACTACAGCATGAATGAGCCCTGAAAACTTTCTGAATAACAAAAGGAGAAACGTCATATGATCCCACTGACGTGAAATATCCAGAACAGGCAAATGTATAGAGACCAAAGTTTTTGTTAGTAGTTACCAGGGACAGGAGGGTGGGGAGGAAAGGAGAGTCATTGTTTACAAAGCTTGACTATCTGATGATGGTAATGGAAAACTTGGCAACGGATACTGGTGATGATTGCACAACATGAGTGATATAATTGGTGTCAATGAATTATACACGTGAAAAGTGTTGAAGTGGCAAATGTTGTATTATATATACATATTTTTTCAGTAATAAAAAAATCAACTTTTATAAACAAGAAATGAAGACTGTATGTGAAGCTAAAGCTGCCAAGAGATTTTTCAACCCACACTGAAAGTGTATGTGTAATATCTGAACAAATGTGTTTAGAATCTGAGTAAGTTTGTGTGGCTATTAGAGTCAACAACATAAATCAATATATTGTGTCAGATGCAATTTATATCAATGTGTCCCTTCTGGAATGTGGAATAATTCACTCCCATATGATTATTTGTATATATGGATAGATAGACAAACAGACAGACAGATAAATAGACAGGTAGGTGGGTGGGTGGG